GTATTTTTAGATTGACATCTGAAAACTCAAGGATACCTCAATCAGTTCCTGGCTGTGTATCCCTCAAGTCACAAAACTTTTCTGGTGTCCCGTTAGCATTTCATAAACAAAACAGTGGCCCATCTTCAGGGCTGTTATAAGGCAAAATTAAATAATAATCTAGATTGAGTTTCTTGGAGAAATAATTACATGACTAGAAAACTGTTATGTTACTTAAGTGACAATTGTAAGTAATAAATTCCATGGCAATTGCAGTTTTGTTCTCCTTGTCTGCTGCAACAGCTTTGAAGTTATCTTCTAGAAGCTCCTCTCAGTTTCTGAGACAACACAATTCTTGTTTTCCTACCTAGGCTTTTTTCCAGCACCATCTTCTTTTCCCATGCCTCAAATATGACTTTATCCTAAGTTTACCACAGCACTCTACTCTCCATGGTCCAGTGTTGCTCAATACACGGCCCGCTGACCACAGAATACATCAGAATTACCTGGGGGCTTGTAAAAGAACAGACTCCTAGGTCCTGCTGGTCCTAAGAAATCCCAGAATATCTAGGAGGTACCAAGGGCCTGCCAATGTTTCCCAAGTACTGCCAATGTTGATAGTTTGAAATCCATTGCCCATTTTTCAGGCTTGCAGCTTTAATCCCATTCCTAGCCTCCACAAGTAGAGTGACCAAGAGAGCCTTAGCTGGGACAAAGGGCTGGTTAGAACTGTGGCTCTATCACTAAACTGTCAAATTATGGTCTGTTATGAGACTTAAAGGAGACAATGTATGTAGAGTACTCGGCAGAATCCTTGGCCTGAAGTAGACAGTCAATAAATGATTGTCAATGTGCCCCAACATTATCAATATGCCCCAATTGATCTGTTTCCACTCTCCAACCCTCAAACTGGCCTACTCCAGGATTCCCTGTTTTTGTTGACCCAATCATTTTACTAGTATTCCAGGCTTCAGTTTGCATCTTATCTTTTCCATCAATCCACAAGCTGTTATATTCTTACTCATGCTCATCTGCCTGACACAACCATGTCACCTTCTCTCCACCATTCCATGTCCTACTCTAACAAACTCTTCTGTAAAGCCTTTCTTGACCATCCCAGTTTCAAGTAAACTACCTGTTCGTATGCTCATTCATACACCTATATCACCAATAAAAATCCATTAGAGGCAGGGCGTGGTGGTTCACGCCTATAATCCTAGCACTTTGGGAGGCCAAGACAGGTGGATTGCTTCAAGCCAGGAGTTCAAGACAAGCCTGGCCAACATGGTGAAACCCCATCTCTACTAAAATTACAAAAAATCAGCCGGGCGTGTAATCCCAGCTGCTCAGGAAGCTGAGATGGGAGGCTGAGGCAGGAGAATTGCTTGAACCCGGGAGGCAGAGGTAGCAGTGAGCTGAGATCACCACTGCACTCCAACCTGGGCAACAAAAACCCTGCCCCACCCCCCCACCAAAAAAAAGATCATTAAAAATTAACCACTCACCTGTTTATATATAGTTTCCCCAATTAAGAGCATAGATTGCTGAAGAGAATAGACAGATCAAAATCTCTTCTTGGTTGCCAAGACCAAACTTGTCTGAGGTTTAAAGGAATTTTGTTACTCAATAAACTCCTCTGCCAAGATTTTAAAACTAGATTATAATTCAAGTTTCTAAGTTAAAGGATCTTTAACCAGGAAAGCTCAAAAAAACTAAATTGAAATGGGAGATAGAGATGATAGTCAGAAGCCATAATCAGATATCCTACTGTCAAAAGAAAAATAGATGCTCTACAAGCTACTAAATACATTGCCTCAGATAAACAGCCTGTAAACAATTATACAACTTAAACTATGGAAGTGGCAATTTATGAAATTCAGGTTGTTTTACTGAAATCAAGATAATAATCCTTATTTTCAATTTTAGTGCTCACAGCAAAACTTTTCAAATTGAGTCCAAGTCAATTTGAAGGTGTTCCTGGAAATGGTTCCTTTACAGAACTCTTAAATTTAGATCACATGAAGGATACTGGGAAACTACACAAATAACTCATAAGGGAAGTTTCCAATTTATAAAAACAGAACTCTGAATCTAACACTCAACTCAGGTAATTTTTTTCACAGTGCAGCTGGGAATAAACTTTAGAGTAATTAAAAAAAAATCGTCATGCTGTGTACCTTCCCATTTTGTATGACATGGTTTTACACACAAATAAATAAATGCCCTGTCTGCAACTTTTTTTCTTGTTCTTACTAGAGAGATGAAGCTTGAAACCTTAAAAAGATACCAGACATACAGAAATATGTAGAAAGTATAACATAATCTTTCTAAATCTCCATAGTGATTTAAAATATTTGCTTACTAACTGGAAAAACCACTCAGTAGGCTCACGGTGTGAACTAGCAAGAAAAAGAAAACACACTGAAAACTGACATTTCTATCAGGTATAAAATGTTTAAAGAAATGCAGGGGAGAGACCATTTAGAAAAGCCTCAGATGGCAGCCATCATCTCATAACCAGCAGTTTTCAAAATTCTTATGACAGTGAGAACCTGAAAAATTCCACTGTACTTCACTTTTTCCCTTTTATTGTATCAAACTATGGGTACATAAGCTGCCTAGCAAAACAATACAAGGAGCTCAATCAAACCTGTGGGAAGGCCGGGCGCAGTGGCTCAAGCCTGTAATCCCAGCACTTTGGGAGGCCAAGGCAGGTGGATCACAAGGTCAAGACATCGAGACCATCCTGGTCAACACATGGTGAAACCCCGTCTCTACTAAAAATGCAAAAAAAATTAGCGGGGCACGGTGGCGTGTGCCAGTAATCCCAGCTACTCAGGAGGCTGAGGCAGGTGAATTGCCTGAACCCAGGAGGAGGAGGTTGCGGTGAGCCGAGGTCACGCCATTGCACTCCAGCCTGGGTAACAAGAGCAAAACTCTGTCTCAAAAAAAAAAAAAAAAACATCTGTGGAAAAAGTAGCGAGTATAGATCAGCTATTGTAGTTACTAGATACCAGATGTCTTCTGGAAGAGATGAAAAAAGAACAATTCTGTTCAAAAATTTTGATCCCATTTAAAATAAAGCAAGGAAACCTAAGTTGTATTATATACTAACAAAGCTGTGCTTGTGATAAGTTGCCAAAACTTCAAATTTGATTAATGTGGGGGAGAAGGGTTCAGAAGGCTGGTAAAACGACATAGATACTGAAAATGTTAAGGGCAGACAAAAGCCAGACTTCTCAACACTGCTTATTCATTTCCCTAAAGTTAAGGTTGTCTAATTTTATAATCTCTCTGTGGGGCCAAAAAAAAAGAAAAAAAAAAAAAAACACACACACACAGCTGGCTAAAGTATCTATCACTCTCAATCTGATGGCATACTTTCTTTTGTTGCTATTATACACTGTAATATCTTAACTCTTAAGTTTAGAAATCAGTATTTGTAAACAAGCAACATTTTTATAGCAGTAAATCCTCCTGCATCATTAAATCATGACTAAGGGTAAAGGCCAAGGTTAACAGCAAATGTCAAAATTGTAAAGGACAACAAGGGTATAGGTCCCAAATCCATAACCAAGATTTTAAAACTTTGGCTCACACATTAAAAGTATTTTTTAATGTTAAAAATAAATTAAAAAATAAAAATATCAAGTAGAACAGAAGTTCTGACCTGAAATATGACACTTTGGTGAAGGAAGGAAGCTAGTAATGGCAGCAGAATGCCTTAAGACTTCCATCTAAAGAAACGGACCCAACATTAAAAGCCCTCACCCTATTAATTATAATGCATTTTGACCTCTAAAAACCCTCTTACCTGTTATAAGAGTTTATACAGCTGTTTGCCACTGGAACACCACCTTGCAGAGTATAACCATGGCATCCTTTGTTGATAATCACCTGTTGCCTAGCAATCATCATCCCGCATGGAGACAGACAGCACTAGGGCTCTTCCATCCGAGGTTAAAATTCAAAACAAGCCCAACAAGCCTGCATTTCAAGGTGGTCTTCGTCTGCAACTAGTTAAGTTTAAAACTGGCAAACAACAACAATGGTGTCTGAAGCCAATGGTGCAGCACTGCTGGCTTCCTCTTGAACTCCAGCGTTGTCACTGTGCACTGAAGTCTCCTGCTGCAAACAGGGGAGTTGTTCTCCTGTACTGGGAACAGGCTTCCAAAACTCAGGAGCCCCTGTACAGGATAATGCAGGAACTAAAGGCAAACATTTTTCCTCCTTAAGGATGCCTCCATCTTTTTCCTCACAATCTGTACTACCAACCGAAGTGACTGGGCCTGAGTGTGCGTTCGTACCTATGAAACCGTCACGGTGCATGCACATCCAAGGCATGTGGAACCAAAGGTCAAATAAGGCACAGATACCAAGTAACGGTTCTAATTACAAACGCTAGCTCTCAGGAACTCTTCATCCATTCAGAACTAAACCCATCACTGTATAACTCTGGTAAGAAGCCCCTGGAGACGAAGGAGCTCCTCAAATGTGTCAGGAAAGGCTTTATTAACATCATCATTAACATTTAAAAAGCAAACGGAGCATTCTCCTTCTTTTGGCAATTTGGTGCAAATGTTAAGTGCAAGATAAAGCAATTTCAAACTTCTCTTCAAATTAAAAATGAAACTAAAGCCAAACGTGATGGGTGAACAAAATAAATCAAAACTTAAATTTCAGCAACTCCAGCTCTTCAAACCAGCAAAAGCCCCCGACTCGTGCACTGTGGTGAGGCTTAGGGTGCCTGCCCCGGCTTCTTGAGTGCCAGCAAACAGCACCATTTCCTCATCACGTTGAGAACCGAGAAGCAAATGATCCCCTTCACTGCAAACAAAGGGGGTCAACAGTAACACTAGTGATCCTTCAGAATTGACACACTGTGATAAGTCAAAATGAAATTGATGGTCTCCCTGCTTCTTGCTCAAGACATACAAGATCTGAGCAGCAGCAAGTACCCCCTCGGCTGCAAACAAAGGGGTCAAAGGTTTGCCGTCAATTCACTTCCAGGCAGAAAAACATTTTCCTCAAAAGAAACAATTTATTTAGAATAAAACAAAAGCAGCTCAACTGTGAGCGCACGTTTGAGAGACAGCTACTCTTAAGCTGTGTGAGCCATAAAAAGGGTTTTTCTTTACTTTTCCAGAAATCTTGTGTACACAGCACAAAGCAAAGAGGTCATTTTTTTTCCACTTAAAACACCGGCATTGGCATCACAATAGCAGATACACAACTTTAAGCTGCCATTTTAGTAAAATGCACAAATATTAAACAGATTAGCTTTCTTCCATCAGAGGCCCATGTAAACTCCACACAAGCCACAACTTCTCTTCAAAAAGGTCCATTAGAGCTTTGAATTCCATATCTTCATCCGCTGTTCAACCAGTTTTGCTTGCGGGGGGGAAAAAAAGGTTATTCAGTACAAATGTTTACAATATTAAAAATATATATATTTCCCCTATGCCATTATAGATGAACATAACATTAACGAGACCTTCTTGGATAGTTCACCTCAACTTCAAAAAGCACCAATAATACCCACTGGCATAAACCTTGAAATGAATTTACTGTATGACTACACATGTAACAAATAGAATAGGGTGGGTTTTTTTTTAAAGACTGCAATTGAAGATAACAGGACTGAAATATCCTTTATACTCATGTAACTGAGTAAAACTTGTTGTAAAAATTCAAAGTTTCACGATCAATTTATAATCTATCAATATATTGTAAATAGAACTGAAAAAGTGAAACTATAAAAAGATGATGTTTAGTCAAACTTTTGCCCCATCTGTTTTCATTCTGTAATTTATATGGAGCAACACAGACTACTCCATTATTGTAGAAAGGGGTCGATACAAAGCCATTTAAAAATCCACCCTCATCTATGTTACCAAAGACAGCGGCCATTATTTTAAGAAAACTCTCATACCAATCATTGTTAAACAGCTAAAGAACACTTCAGGACTCTCACTTTTCAACTGTTTAAGCCACACATATAAAACTCTTCATTAAGCTTAACATTTCACTGTGGTTACCTGAATCATTTTCTCCCTTTAGGGATACCACTATAACAGAGTCAGCGCCATGTTTTCTCTCTTCTTGTTCTTATACCTAACTCCTATCTCAAAACCAAACACTGTGGCAGAGGCAGAAAAAAAAAAATGTCCAGAAATTCTCTCCAAATTTTTTTTCACGTAAAAGGTCATTAAGCCCTCTTCTCAAGAGGATTTCCTAATTCTGTTACCAGAGACTTTGGGGAATGGTTCCTATATGGATCCAAACTATAGTTCAAATTGTACGTGGATAATGAACAATCTGCCTTAAAAAGGTGGATTGACATTTTTTATTTTTGAAAAAGCACTGTCAGTGAAAACCTGCTAATCGTTTTTAAATAAACCTAAACAATGTCTGACTCTGAAAGCAATAACCAAACACCTGACATTGGACCTAAAATGATCTGTGAGTCAAGAAGGGCCAGAGTATATTTTACCTTCAAAAGGTGACAAATGCTTATAATCAGCCAGGGTATGAACATTCTAAGATGTAATCCTCTAAAGAAAAACTGTCCACTCTCAGTTAAGGGTCAAAGTACACCAAGAATTTAAATCTTTGTGTGAAAAAAATTATTTACAGGAATCCCAATAAAATAAGCAAAAAGAAGAACTATTGGCTAGGATTTGATTGCTTAATTTTCCATAAAATTTGAAGCTGTGATCTAAAGACTTATCCTCACATTTTTACCAGTAATAATACTTAAGTCATTGAAGGATATCCTGAAGTTTTCTTTCCATTCTTTTTAACTGAGTTCCAGAAAAAGCAACTACATTAAAATAATGATAGAAAAAAAAATGGTTGTTACAAAGAACATTCAACATTGGGATTATTAAATCCTGGCTAATGAGAAGTAGAATGGTTTTAGACTTTTGCTTTCATTCGAATTCTGAAGGTTTAACTAGATACTTTATGGATATTATGAACCTACACAAAAGAATGGGCAATACAAATAAGAGGTTCATGTGCACTATGGCATTCTGTAGGTAATGACCAAACTAAACATAATTATTTTTTTATAATACATACATTTAGAAATGGTATCAAACCATTGTTTCAAAAACACTGAAGCACAAATTGCCCAGACCTAACAAAAGCAGCAATGTCAGGTAACGATTCAAACAAACATGGAGCAAAAACATATACCCTTCTGTAAGCTGTCACACTAATAATTAAAAAAAAAAAAAAAAAAAAAAATGAGAGAAAAAACAACACATTTTGGATGACAGTAAAATTAGATACCACGGACTTCACTCTCCAAAGAGCAAAATCATTTGTCCAACTATCTTGATTTTCAAAAGTTAATGGTTAGTGAGATTATTTAAACAGGAAAAATGTAGCTAGCCACAAATTATACTTTGAGCCCATGTATGCAGACTCCACACTTGCATTAGCTCTTGAACAGTGTCTACTCCAAACCAAACACTGCTTTTCGAAAGCAAGAAGCATCAAGTCTTCACTGTAGGATTTCAGGTATCTTCCTGAGGACAAGGACCTTCATGCTCATAGCTTAGTACCTTCCTTCTCTCAAAATGGCTAGTGTTTCCAGTTTAAAAAGAAACAACAAAAAAAAAAGCCGCACAAAACCTGCACACTTAAAAGATTATAAATGCATAGTGAAAACCAAGAGGGATGACACAGCAGTGATGATACTTTTGTGCTGACATGCATTAGACACCTGTCATAATGTAAAATAAAAATTACATGACATTTCCCTGGGTTATTATTGGTGCTATTTCAAAACTACCAGCTTTGATAACAGAAAGAAAACAGTTGGGTTCTGCCAGGCTTCAAATAAGTCATTTTCATAGAACAAAAACATGACTGTGATCCAGAAGGTCCAAAAGTCTCTAATCACAATTAAGTATCAAGGGCCTTAGCTGAAGTCTTCAGCACTTAAATCAAGGGAAAAAAATATACTTACTAATGACCTGACAAACTAGAGGGGAGACAGAGGGGGTAGATAAATAATAACAATAATAATAATAATCCATTACTGTTAAGCAGCAAAAGTCCTTGTTGAGACCCAGAGGTTGATATCATTCTCAGCTTTGGGAAAAAAAAAATAAAACACAAAAACCTGTGAAGGTAAGTTAAGTGATCCTGCAATTAATTCCAGGTGTCTGGGAAAATAAAACAACTAAAAAAGGTTTTCCTACACTGACATTCAATTCTGTTGCTGGACAGCAGTAAGAATATTAAACATAACACTTCCAAGATGTTCAAAACATTTCTAATAATGTAATGTCATTACTGTTTAAATATTAAAATAAAAAGACAAGCAAAATTTTAAAAGAAGATGTCAAAGGCATTTTATGATAACTTTTTAAAAAATTATGCAATCCAAATATGGCTGATTAATGCCCACTGAAACAAAAGATGACTGTGAGCCTGCAGACAACTCTTCTTTCTATTATTGAAACCAGAAATTTGAATGGATACAACAAAAACTCAACTTTGATGAAGAACACTTCGTTTTGAAATATGCACAATTAGAACTGTACCTGCTACACCTCTGAAAAAGTCAGTAAAAACACCACCACACACCAATTACTGACCAAATAATTCTGATTTTAAAAGCACCTACTCACTTCTTGCATACTAGTGTAAGCATAAGACATATATGGTTTGTAACATAGTCCTTAATTTTTACTGAACAGTTTCTGCTACAAACCAAAAGTGCATATACGGGATACAGAACTCTAAAACAAATCATTTTAAAAATGCATGTTAAAACAAACTCTCTGGGAATAAACTGTGTCTTAAGAAATACTCAAAAACCTGATTAAAACAATTACAATGCTATACAATTTACTAGCATATACCTTTGAGATTCCCGATCAAATTTCAGTCATACACACTTCTGGTAAAAGAATTATTTACGTACACACCAATCGAGTCTTTTTAGATGGATGCTACTCTTTATATGGTCAGTGGACTCTTTTCTCCAAATTCTGACTTTTCAAAATTTTGATTTTGTAACTCTGAGGATTTTTTAAGCTCAAGATTAAAAAAAAAAAAAAAAAAAAAAACTGAAGAAAGAGAGGAAAAAAAATTACTCATAAGGGTGGGGACTCCTAATAAAACAAACCCATCTGCCCGCTACCTTTAGGGCATCACTTTCACTTAAAATAATAGCTAAACAACAACAACAAAAAAAACCAGCTAAATTGTCCTGACTTAAAACAGCTAAATTGTCCTGACTTCTATTTTAAAGACATTTATAAAAATATAAAAAAGAAAACACTATAATTAACAACTAAAAAGAAAATTGCATCTGATGCTGTATCCCATTACACATCACAAAACAGGAACCATGTCAAAGTAGTAAATACAAGTTACACATGGACTTTAGGACGCACCACGGACAATGATCATGACCAGGTAATCTTCTTCAGATTTGGCCAGTGCCTTGGCAGGGGAATCCAGGAACTGCTGGGAGAACTCACAAGGTGGGAAGGCATGAAGGACCCCGGTGTTTTCCTTGTCTTTGTTGCCCCCCACAGGGAGGCTGATCACCCCGGCTGCCTGCTTTTGCTTTAAATAGGACACAAGGTTCCTAAGTGGCCTCTGAGTAGAAGTGGCAGTGTCTGATGCAGCTGAGGAAGAGGAGGACCGGCTGTCAGAACTTCCAGGCACAGCCAGAAGAATGGCATAACCATTGGGCCCTGCTACTTTGATGCGTCGAGTTACTTCATCCAACTTGGGCTGGTCCAAACGGAGACGCTGAGTGATCTTGAGCTGGGCCACTTTGCCTCCAGTTGAACCCTCCACAAGAAGACTACTAGCCACTTGGAGGTCACCCTGCAACAGATGCATGTTGGAAGGAAAATTGCTGTTCTTCAGTAGAAGCATGCCCTGCCAGGCCAAACAGAGCTTGGGAGAGGCTGCTGCCGCAGGGGCTGTCCCCCCATCCTGCTTCTGGGACGGGGACTTCAGCTTGGAGGAAGCAGTGCTGGTGCTAGGTGCACTCCCATCAGAGCGGTCTTCTTTTTTCAAAGGGCTTTTTCTCTCAGTGGGAGCAGCTGTCCGGTGCTTCCTATCTCGTTCAGCTGATGCAGAGTTTTTACGGTCTCGCTTGTCACCCTGGCTTTTCTCCAAACTACCTCGTCTGTCTCTGACTGGAGAAGGCCTTTCCAAGAGAAGAAGACGGGAAGATCGATCATTGTCGCTGTTGTAACGATCCCGACTACTGCTCAATTCTGGACTGCGATCAGGAGAAGGAGCGCAGTGACGCTTTCGTGGGCGGTCACTTTCAGGAGACCTATCCAGATGTCGTCCTCCACTCTCCTCAGGCAGCCTTCGCTTCCTAGGCTGGTCTCTGCTGCTAGGCAGATCTCGATCACCTCTGTCCCGGTCCAAGGACCAACCATCTCGCCTGCGATCCAGGCTATCCAGTGGCTCATAAGCAGGCACAGAAGTAACTGCAGTCCGAGTGCTGCGTTCCCTGACTGGGGGTGGGGGTGGCACCCAATCAGAGTCAGGATAAAGGTCCCTATCACGATCTCTGTACAGTAAGGGTGGTGTCCTATCCCGAGCACCCCTCAAAGGGTCAGGTGCCCGATGTCCAAAGGCATCTGTCACCAGCTCATAATGAGTCAAGGGCAGAGGCTGCAGATATTGCTGCTGGTAACGATGCTCAGTGTCGGCAAAGTCTACTCTAAGGCGTCGATCTGGGCCACCAAGTGGGAAGCCCCGCATATGGGTCCAAGCAGCATGTGCTGCATCCAGGCTTTCATACTGGATATATGCCCAACTATCACCTTTTCGGTAATCTATGGTGCGTATGGTGCCAAATCGATCAAACTCTCGTGCCAGGGCAGCAAGAGGAACCCAAGGTCCCAGGCCTCCCACCCAGAGGCGGGTGGTGGGTGTAGCTTTACCATAACCAATTTTGATAGGATTCCGAATTATAATTTTGCCAGACATTGCTAATTTGGCCCGGTGAGACATATCTAGGTTCTCAAATTTGAGAAAGCCATAAGTACTAGTCTGGCCGCGAGAAGGCCTCTTGATATCTACTTCCGTGATGACTCCAAAGCGATCAAACGCCCTTCTTAAATCACTCTCGGTGACAGTGATGTCTAGGTTGCCCAAGAAAAGCGTCCGGTTGGCTCGCTGATCATCCTCGGGTGAAATCTCATCCACTTCTCTGAAAGGAGCAGCACCTGCTCCAGCTCCCACCCTTGGCTCAAGACTGTATGCTGGGCGCACTCTCTCGTAGAAGGGGTAGTCTCTCTCTCTCTCCAGCTCTCGAGGCAATGGTGGCGGAGGTGGAGGGGGCAAGCGGCCAAGAGCCAACTGCTGCAGCCGGTAGTCTCTGTATCCCAAAGCTGCGCCACCAGGGGAAAGGGATCTCTGGCCTCCACCCCCTCCAGGAGGGTGCCGGTGACCACCTACAGAGGCCCCGACCACGCTGGCTGATGGAGGGTAAGTATCTTTGTCTAAAGGGGAGCGGCTGCGGCGCCGGCTCACATACACAGCTTCTATCTTCAGAGGCCGGTCATACAGCACCAGGCGGCCTCTGGCATGCTTGGCCGCCCGCGCGTCCTCCGGCCGCCGGAAGTTCACAAAGGCTACCCGCTCATCCCCGCTGCCAGAACCCGACAGATGACTGATTTTGACACTTACATCACCGAAGCGTTTGAACTCATGAAACAGGCCGTCCTCCACCGCTTCGTCACTCAGCTGGGACCCCAACTCGCTTATCTTCAGAGTCTTGTATTCCCCGCCGTCCCCACTGCCGGGAGCTGAGGAGGCGGCCCCAGAGGAACGTGACTCCCCGCCTCCACCCCGGGAGCTGCTGCGCGACTCGCCCCCGCCTGAGGAATTTTTGGTGCTCGGGGAGCTATAACTATGCAAGCGGCTACTGGAGCTGCCCCCACCGGTGTCATACTCGCGGCTGCCACCTCGGCTGCTGGACTTGTCTAGGTGCAGACTCCGCCGCGACCCGCCGCCGCTATCTGTCTTTCCGCTGCTGCTCCCGTTGCTGCCACCAGAGCCACCTAACTTCTTGCTCCGCTCCCCGCGGGAAGTCGAGTCCTCACCACCACGGGAGCGTTTGGCCTTGACTGGCGAGCGCTCTTTCCCCTTCATTGTTGCGGGTCGTCGGAGGTCGTCTCCGCTGAGGTGATTAACCCGCCACCCCGCGCTCGTTTCACACAGCGGAACCGCACGCCGCCATCTTGGACTCCGCCGCGGCCCAGAATCCCGCCCCGCAGTCCTCATTGGCCAATTGGCTCTCTCTTCTACAGTCTCATTGGAAAAATTATTTGTCTATCTTTACATCTCCCCGCGCTCCAGGAAGGCGCCCGCCCAACCACTGTTATTGGGTTTCCAAAGCCCTAGTCAGAGCATCTCATTGGTTATATTTGTTGTCTATCTTAACGGTTCCTCGCGCCAGGCTGTAGCTCCGCCCCTAGCACTCTACGGTCATGTGACCCAAAGTCTGGAGGTCTTCATTGGACGAAAAGTCTGCCCTGTAACGGTACTTCTTACTCGGTGAAAGCAGCAACCCCACCTCCTCATCCCTTTCATTGGCTTATAAACCCGTCCTTTAAACCACTATTTAGGAGGTCGGGCCATCCGCTTCAGCGTTTTTTCCAGAGGCAGCCTCACAGCGATATCGCGAGAGAGGGTGAGCTCCCTCTTTCGACCCCCTTTTCCCAACTCCTCCGGCGGCTAAAAGAAGTTTAAATCTGATTGGATGTCCGCAAGGAAGTTGATAGGCTGAAATAACTGTCCATCACTTGCTTAAAGGGGTAGGCCCGTATAAAGGAGGAGGCTGACTGAAGGTGAAAGACTAGAACACGTGCTTACTGTGCGACGTCACTTAGATGTCGCGAGAGGGTGGCTGCGAGCCAGCCCCGCCTCCCCGCCTTTTCGGCGTCCTCCCACAAACATTTGTTCAGTTCCGTGAGGTACTTAGCTGTGCTTCGGCCGTTGGAGTTCGAAACGTTCAGGCTCCCCGCCATCCTACCTGCGCCGGCCCAGGAGCGTGGCAGGCTCTCCGGCTGTCGGGGCCCTCCAGTCCCTCAGGAAGCCGTCTTGGGACGCCTAGAGGACACCATCTTAGGTCGCTGTGGCCGCTGCGTGAAAAGCCGGGGGGAGCCCCGCCCCCGCGCGCGGGAGAGTCCCGCCCGCGGTCACCCGGGCCCGCTGAGCTAGGAGTTCAAGGTTCCTGCAGCCCCAGGTCACGCCGCTGCCCCGGGGCGGTGCTGCCACAAGGAACTTCAAGAACTTCAAGCTGCGCGGCGAAGAAGCACTCCTCGCTTGGGGGCCCTGCTTTCCGGGGCGCTCCCCGTCCCCTCCCAAGTACTCTGGGTAGCAGAGGGGAGTGACCGTCGCTCCCCGCCTCTTGGCCCGCAGGCGGAGCCGGAACTGTCGGGACAGCGTGGACGTGTTTCTGGGCGGCCTGTTTTATTTTGCGAATCTGTGTGGATTTTTTAATTCTGTTGTCCCGTAAAATACCTATGTTTGTTTTTAACATCTAATGCTTCTCCCTGGAAAGTCATCAAGCGAAATTTAGGTTCCATGCAGATAATGTAACTTGGTTTCCCCGCTGTAACTTCTGGTATCCCCCACACTCCGCTTATTGTATTAGAAGCCAGCAGCGCAGGCACCTTGCGGCCGCTCCAGATCCACCTCGTTTGGCTCCTCCAACCGTCCGCTTTACAACTCTCTTTTCCGTAGAGCATTACTGTGGCGGACAGAGCACCTGTGGGAGGTGCAGGAGATGCCGAGCTTAGTGGGGTACGGCCTCCGCCCCAGCGCTCGCCGGCTGCTGGAGGGGCGCAGCGCTGAGGTCACCGCAGCCGTTAGACTGTCTGCAGCCCTCCCAGGTATCCGCCAGGGCGGAGGTTATGAGGATTCTTACATTGATCGCGTCCTCAACCTATTTCCCAAGATCTAATCTATGGTAGAGGGTGTGAGGTGTTTTTAAACATGACATTTTTCAAGGTAACAATAATGTCCCAAAAGCCGAAACCTAAACTTGAAAACGGTGTTAAGATTAGGAACTGTGGGCCGGGCGCGGTGGCTCAAGCCTGTAATCCCAGCACTTTGGGAGGCCGAGGCGGGTGGATCACGAGGTCAAGATACCGAGACCATCCTGGTCAACGTGGTGAAACCCCGTCTCTACTAAAAATACAAAAAATTAGCTGGGCATGGTGGCGCGTGCCTGTAATCCCAGCTACTCAGGAGGCTTGAGGCAGGAGAATTGCCTGAACCCAGGAGGCGGAGGTTGCGGTGAGCCGAGATCGCGCCATTGCACACTCCAGCCTGGGTAACAAGAGCGAAACTCCGTCTCAAAAAAAAAAAAAAAAAAAAAAAAAAAAAGGAACTGTAACCTAAATTTAGCGGCCGAGCCATCCTTTTGGTAAGTAATCCTGAGGAATGTGAAGGGGCAGGCCTTTTATCCCTTTATTAGATCAAAGAAATTTGAAGGAAGAAGCTCAATGGTAAAGCAAGAAAGTCTACGATATTGTAATGTATAAACATATTCATTGTATTAAAATAGAAAATAAAACCACAAGCCATAAAATAATGTGTATAACATGCTATCATTTGTGGTTTTAAAAATTACATTTGTGAGTATGTACATTTTAAAAATATCATTGCTTGGAAACTTCCGTGACAAATATATGGGAAAGTGTTACTAGGATCGCCCTGAGGCTGGGTGTGACGGTCTGGAATAGGAAGGAGACTTCACTTTTCTTTGTAGAAATCTTTTGTTTTATACAAAAAGCACGCTATTACTCCTTCAGTTTAAAAAATAATTATTTTTAATTTTCCTTAAATTATTTTTATGGAAAAAGTTTAAAATAAAGAATACTATAAAGAATTCCATATACCCAACACCCTATTTCAACAGTTGTCAAATCATGTCAGTCTTGTTTCATCTGCATCACACTTCCCACTCTTCCTTTCTCTATTGTTTTCTCCCAGACTTACTGATACATTTCCTGCCCCAGTTGTGGAATCAGCCATTTCTCCGGAGAGCTCTGATTCCTTTTAGTGGGAAATGATATTTAAAGATAAAAATCTGGATGCTGGTAGAGGGGAAAAAAAACATGAACACATTCTTTGTAAAAGCACGATATAAAAGAAAAAAGCTTTACCTGGGTTTAAATTTGCTTCAAGGTTATATTAATAGACCACAAATGGAAACTGAAGTTAAACCATTATCTGATTATTCAATTTAACAGCCAATCGAGATAATAAACCAGGCACCAGAGTGACTTTTTAACCTAAATTGACCTGCTAAGGTGACTCACTGATCAAAGAAAAAGATAATGACCAAATCAGTAGTTTTCCAAACCCATGATAGGGGCTGAGGGAGCACAAGAGTTGAGAGAAAGAATTCAGGGAGATAAGCAGGCACCCAGTCTGTGTGAACATGCGCCAGAGGCATGCCAAGCTTAGTGACTTGCCACTTCAAATACCAGGGAGCTTGATGGAAGCTACTGCCCGCAGCTGGCTAGTTGAAGGCTTGCCTAGGGGGACTGGTGATCTGCCTGGAGCCAAGAGGACTAGTAAGGTTTATGGTTAGATGGAAAAGGCCTAAATTCCATTACAAGTAACAGCCAAAATATTGCCTGTGATGTGTGACTGTGACTGTTCCACCTCAGATCATCCAGGCATTAGATTCTCATAAGGAACACGCAATCTGGATCCCTCACATACTCAGTTCACAATAAGGTTAGCCCTCCTCTGAGAATCTAATGCCTCTGCTGATCTGTCAGGAGCTGAAGCTCAAGCAGTAATGCTCCCTCACCTGCCCCCCTCACCTGCTGTGCAGCCAGGTCTTAACAGGCAACTGACCAGTACTGGTCCACAGACTGGGGGCTGTGAACCCCTGCTTTAAAGCATAAAGCTGCTTAGTGAGTTTTTTGTTTTAGAGACAGGGACTTGCTCTGTCACCCAGGCTGGAATGTAATGGTGCAACCATAGCTCACTGCAACCTTGAATTCTTGGCTCAAGCAATCTTCCCAATTCAGCCTCCCAAGTAGGCACACACCACCACACCCAGCTAATTTTTAAATTTTTTTGTATTCATGAGGTCTAGCCAGGTTGCCCAGGCTGATCTCAAACTCCTGGCCTCAAGTGATCCTCCCACCTCAGCCATCCCAAAGCACTGAGGTTACAGGCATGAGCCACTGCACCCAGCCAAGTGAGGTTTTAATATCCTCTGTTTACACATGTGCTTTAGAGACAGCACATATGTAAAAGTGGATAAAAGTGACCCGTGGTTTAGATGGCCAGGACTTTGATCCCTTCTTTTGTTGTTGATGGAATTGTTAAGGTGCAACCTGAGCTTTCATTTGATCTCTTTGTGATCCATGGCCAGATTTGTGAGGACGGCTGACCTAGGTGAGGAGGATCTTTCGATGGTCTTGAAAACAGGGCAGGATGTGGTGGCTCACACCTGTAATCCTAGCACTTACAGAGGCCAGAGTGGGTGCATCATTTGAGGTCACATGGTGAAACCCCAGCCCACATCTCTACTAAAAATACAAAAATTAGCCGGGCATGGTGGTGGACGCCTGTAATCCCAGCTATTTGGGAGACTAAGGCAGGAGAATCCCTTGAATCCAGAAGACAGAGGTAGCAGTGAGCTGAGATTGTGCCACAGCACTCCAGTCTTCCAGCCTGGGCAACAGAGCAAGACTCGGTCTCAAAAAAAAAAAAAAAAAGCCACAGAAAGAAAACGGGGTTATGTTACCAGCAGATTCCCTGAGTATCAGAGCAGCTCTGTAAGGATACTAAAAACCACTGAATTGTATACTTTATTTATTTATTTATTTATTATTCGACCAAGCAATTCTCCTACCTCAGCCTCCCAAGTAGCTGGGATTACAGGTATGTACAACCATGCCCAGCTAATTTTTGAATTGTATACTTTAAATGTGTAAACTTTATGGTATATAAATTAAGCTTAATAAAGACTGAAAACATACTGACATCTTAAACTTATGTGCCTGTTTTCAATCAGATGTCCTCTTTCCACCCTTCTCTTTCCTAGGTTTTATTGTTTGTGTATCCTCAATACACACATGGACAATTACTACTGCAATATGAAATTTACCTTGGGAGCTGAGAGCCATTCAATTTCTTGGCAGGTGCAACAAAACAAAACAAAAAGACTAACTCTGGGAATTAAACATTTTTTCCCACCCGTAATAGTAGATTAAAATTTTCTGTTTCAGCCCTTCATAAAATGAGTGGTGTCTTGACAGTTATTTTGTTTGGTCTGCAGAAAAAGTGTATATTTTACCCATAGGCATATTTTAAATCTCGAAAGTAGCAAACAATCATTCAGGACCCAGTTTGTGTTACAAAATCACGATTTGTGGTCTGTGAGTTTTTTAAACAGCTTTATTAAGATAAAATTTATATACCATAAAGTTTACCCATTCAAAGTATACAATTCAGGGGTTTTTAGAATCCTTACAGAGCTGCCCATGTGGTTCCTCCCTTAATATTGTGGAAGAAAGCACTCTGCTATAACTTCTTCGTGACTAAGCCCTGAGATAATTCTCTTTTATTTACTTAGACACCTTGTAGGGTAGTGATTAAGAGTACACACTCTGGAGCCAGCCAGCCTGGATTAAATCCCAGCTCTCCTATGGGCCTCAGAAGAGTTACTGGCAACCTCTCTGGGCCTTGGTTTTCTCCTCACTGGGAAGATTAAATGAGTTAAACCATATACCTGGCACATGGTAAGCACTGCATAAATGATTGCTATTATTAATATATTTTATCTTTGAACTTGAGTACATAGAATTGGATTAATTGTAATCCTTAATTCATGGTATACAATCAGCAGTGGTCCATATTTTCAATGTTTATTATTTATTAATAACATAATGAAAATCCATGAACTCAGCACTCAATCCAGCACTCAAATAGAAAATTACCAATAATTTACATCTACCTAAATGCTGCTCCTCTATCCCATCTACTGCCCACCTTCATAGATATCCTGAGTGTAGTATTTAGCAATCCTTGCCTTGTAAAAGAATTTTTAAAGGAATTTTAAAGAATTCATATGTGTGTGTGCTTGCACATGTGTGCACACACACCTGAAAAGTATTATTTTCATTTTGCTTGTTTTTGAACTTTATACAAACTTATATTTGAACAACATGCTATATATAATTTTCTAAGATTTACTTTTTTTATTGTGTTACTATGATTCTTCCATATTATCATATATAATAGCTATAGTTTATTTCCATTGTTGTAAAATATCTCATTATATTGAATATACCACTATTTAGTTATCCATTCTTTTTTTGATTTGGGCTATGAATATTTTCTACTTTTTATGTTATTATGAAGAGTGCTTGATATAGTTTGAATGTTGTGCCCTCTATTCTCATGTTGAACTATAATCTTCAGTGTTGAAGGTGGAGCTTGCTGAGAGGCATTTGGATCATAGGGGAGGATCCTTCACGGCTTGGTGCTGTCCTAGTGATGGTGAGTGAGTTCTCCAGAGTTCTCATTTAAAAGTATATGGCACTCCACTCTCTCATTCCCACTCTCACTATGTGATATGCTGGCTCCCCCTTTGTCTTCTGTCATGATTGTAAGCAGCCCAAGGCCTCACCAGAAGCTGAGCAGATGTCAGCACCATGCTTCCTGTACAGCCTGAAGAACTGTAAGCCAGTTAAATCTCTTTTCTTTATAAATTATCCAGTCTTGTGTATTCCTCTATAGCAACACAGAATGGCCTAACACAGTGCTACCATGAAGATCCTTACTCATATGTCCTGAGGCATACATGCAAGGATTTCTCTGGGATAGGATGGAGAGGTGGAAGGTGAAGGATACTAGGAGTGGAATTATTGGATTAAAAAGGTATATTGAAGCTGGCCTGTAATTCTAGCTACTCAGGAGGCTGAGGTAGATGGATCAATTGAGCCCAGGAGTTCAAGGCCAGTGTGGGTAATATAGTGAGACCCTCCCTGTCTTTTTTTTTTTTAATAAAAAGGTTATATGAAATGTCCAGTTTCATAGGATAATGTCAAATTGTTTTCTAAAGCAGGTTTTTTTTTTAGCAATTTACAATCTCATCAGTAGTGTATAAGAGATCTTATGATCCATGTGACTAACATTTTATAACTTTTTGTAATCAAATAGATGGACATAAAATAGTATGTCTCTGTGGTTTTGATATTTTACTTCCTTGATTACTAGTGGGGTTGCTTATCTCTCTATAAGTTTACTGGTCATATATATTTCTTCATCTATGCACTATCTATTCATGTCTCTTGCTCCTCTATTGAATTGTGTCTTTCTTATAGGTATATGAGTTTTTCATATGTTCTTGATCCTAATCTTCTATAGAGCGTATGTACAGCTAATATATTTTTATAGTCAAGGCTTATCTTTTCACACAATTTAAGCTGATTTTAAATAAACAAATTCTTAGTTTAAATACAATTGAATTTATCAACATTTTATAATTAGCACTTTCTGTATCTTGTCTAAGATCATTTTTCCCAACCCTGCCACCAGTATTTGACTATATTAAATTTTTCTTCTTTCTTATAAATTATAAAAAATTTTCTACCAGGCACAGTGGCTCACACCTGTAATCCCAGCACTTAGGGAGGCAGAGGTGGGAGGATAGCCTGAGCCCAGGAGTTTGAGACCTGCCTGGGCAACATAGTGAGACCCCATTCTCCACAAAAAGGAAAGAAAAAGACAAAAAAAGTTTATTTTGCCAAGGTTAAGGATGCATGCCTGTGACACAGCCTCAGGAGGTTCTGACAACAGGTACCCAAAGTGGTCGAGGCACAGCTTAGTTTTATACATTTGAGGGCAACATGAGACATCAATCAATACATACAAGATGTACATTGGTTTGGTAGGGAAAAGTGAGACAACTCCAAGTGGGGAGGAGGCTTCCAGGTCGAAGGTAGATAAGAGACAGATGGTTGCATTCTTAGCCTTTCCAAAGGAAGCGATCAGATATGCATTTATCTCAGTGAGCAGAGGGATGACTTTGAGTTCTGTCTGTCCTTTGCAAGGAATTTCCCTGAGGAGGAATTGTGAGTGAGGTATGTAGCTTGTTTATCTTAATAGCTATCTTTTTTAGGAATAGAATGGGAGGCAGGTTTGCCCTAAGCAGTTCCCAGCTTGATTTTTTTCCCTTTGGCTTAGTGATTTGAGGATCCCACATTTATTTTCCTTTCACACCTTAAGTATTTCAGCCTGTGTTTCTGAGCTCACAGGCATTACCTTAATAACCCCAGAACAACGATCAAAATCAAGAATGATAACATTGGTACATTACTATTAACTAATTCATAATACATATTCAAATTGTATTAATTGTTCCAGTATGGGTTGAGCATCCCTAACATGAAATTTCAAATATTCCCAAACCCAAAACTTGTGAGCACCGACATGAAGCCACAACTGGAAATTAGCACACAAAAACATTAACACAAACTTTGTTTCATGCACAAAATTCTTATTTTTTATGATTATTATTTTTGAGCCAGAGTCTCACTGTGTCACATAAGCTGGAGTGCAGTGGCATGACTTTGGCTCACTGCAACCTCTGCCTCCTGGGTTCAAGCGATTCTCCTGTCTCAGCTCCGTAGTAGCTGAGATTACAGGTGCACATGCCCAGCCTCATTTTTGTATTTTTAGGAGATACAGGTTTCACCATGTTAGCCAGGCTGGTCACGAACTCCTGACCTCATGATCCACCCACCTCAGCCTCCCAAGGTGCCTCGACCACTTTGAGTAGCTGTTGTCGGAACCTCCTGAGGCTGTCACAGGCATGCATCCTTAACCCTGGCAAAATAAACTCTCTAAATTGACTGAGACCTGTCTCAGATATTTGGGGTTCACCAAGGGTAAAGTAAAGAGATATTTCCAACATCCTCTAAATGACTCAGAAAACTTTCAAGGAACAGATTATTTCCTTCTATTTTGTTGCTCTGCACTTCTACTGCCTTGTGACCTGATACAGCTTCTCAAGTTCCAGCCACGATAAGCATTCCAGTCAGTCAACAGTGAAGAAGGGAGGAACAGCAGCATGGCAGCTTCCTTTCCCAACACTACCTGGAAGTGACACACTAAAATTCCACCTATATCTCATTAGCTGAAGCATAGACATCTGGCTACATTTAGCTGCAAGGGAGGCTGGGAAGTGTATTTTAAAATTTATTTTAGCCCAGCTGCAAAGCAGAGGTTTTATATCTAAGGAAAAGGGGGAGAGCAGGCACTGGGGCCAACCAGCAGTTTCTTCCAGACTCTGTCCTGGTGAATTACATGACACAATGCATGTGATGTCCATGGTACTTGGTAGGATTCAATTATAGCGTGTCATTTCATGATTTGACTTAAATTATCTGATTCAATTCTCACAGTAATCATATGAGTAAAGACAAATACGAATATCTTAATTGCAGATTAGAAAACTAAAATTCAGCTAATTATAGTTGGTGGTGGTATTTTTTGTTTGTTTGTTTGTTTTTGAGATTGAGTTTTGCTCTTGTTGCTCAGGCTAGAGTGCAATGTTGCAACCTTGGCTCACTGCAACATCTGCCTCCTGGGGTCAGGGATTCTCCTGCCTCAGCTTCCTGGGTAGCTGAGATTACAGGCAACTGCCACCATGCTCTGCTAATGTTTTGTATTTTTATTAGAGACAGGGTTTCACCATTTTGGTCAGGCTGGCTGGAACTCCTGACATCAGGTGATTCGCCCACTTGCGCCTCCCAAAGTACTAAGATTACAGGTGTGAGCGACCATGCCTGCCTTTGTTTGTTTTTTTTTTGTTTTTTGTTTTTTAATTTTTTATTGGATTTTAGGTTTTGGGGTACATGAGCAGAGCATGCAAGACAGTTGCGAAGGTACACACATGGCAGTGTGCTTTGCTTTTCTTCTCCCCTTCACCCACATTTGGCATTTCTCCCCAGGCTATCCCTCCCCACCTCCCCCTCCCACTGGCCCTCCCCTTTTCCCCCCAATAGACCCCAGTGTTTAGTACTCCCCTTTCTGTGTCCCTGTGTTCTCTTTTTTCATCACCCACCTATGAGTGAGAATATGCGGTGTTTCATTTTCTGTTCTTGTGTCAGTTTGCTGAGGATGATGTTCTCCAGATTCATCCATGTCCCTACAAACGACACAAATTCATCATTTCTGATTGCTGCATAATATTCCATGGTGTATATGTGCCACATTTTTCCAATCCAGTCTATTATCAGTGGGCATTTGGGTTGATTCCAGGTCTTTGCTATTGTAAACAGTGCTGCAATGAACATTCGTGTACATGTGTCCTTATAGTAGAACAATTTATAGTCTTTTGGATATATACCCAGTAATGGGATTGCTGGGTCAAATGGAATTTCTATTTCTAAGGCCTTGAGGAATCGCCACACTGTCTTCCACAGTGGTTGAACTAATTTACACTCCCACCAACAGTGTAAAAGTGTTCCTTTTTCTCCACATCCTCTCCAGCATCTGTTGTCTCCAGATTTTTTAATGATCGCCATTCTAACTGGCGTGAGATGGTATCTCAATGTGGTTTTGATTTGCGTCTCTCTGATGACCAGTGACGATGAGCATTTTTTCATATGATTGTTGGCCTCATATATGTCTTCTTTCGTAAAGTATCTGTTCATATCCTTTGCCCACTTTTGAATGGGCTTGTTTGTTTTTTTCCTGTAAATCTGTTTGAGTTCTTTGTAAATTCTGGATATAAGCCCTTTGTCAGATGGGTAGACTGCGAAAATTTTTTCCCATTCTGTTGGTTGCCGATCCACTCTAGTGACTGTTTCTTTTGCCGTGCAGAAGCTGTGGAGTTTGATTAGGTCCCATTTGTCTATTTTGGCTTTTGTTGCCAATGCTTTTGGTGTTTTGGTCATGAAGTCCTTGCCTACTCCTATGTCCTGGATAGTTTTGCCTAGATTTCCTTCTAGGGTTTTTATGGTGCCAGGTCTTATGTTTAAGTCTTTAATCCATCTGGAGTTAATTTTAGTGTAAGGTGTCAGGAAGGGGTCCAGTTTCTGCTTTCTGCACATGGCTAGCCAGTTTTCCCAACACCATTTGTTAAACATGGAATCCTTTCCCCATTGCTTGTTTTTGTCAGGTTTATCAAAGATTGTATAGTTGTATGTATGTTGTGTTGCCTCCGGTGCCTCTGTTTTGTTCCATTGGTCTATATCTCTGTTTTGGTACCAGTACCATGCTGTTTTGATTACTGTAGCCTTGTAGTATAGTTTGAAATCCGGTAGTGTGATGCCCCCCGCTGTGTTCTTTTTGCTTAGAATTGACTTGGCTATGCGGGCTCTCTTTCAGTTCCATATGAAGTTCATGGTGGTTTTTTCCAGTTCTGTGAAGAAAGTCAATGGTAGCTTGATGGGGATAGCGTTGATTCTGTAAATTACTTTGGGCAGTATAGCCATTTTCACGATATTAATTCTTCCTAACCATGAACATGGAATGTTTCTCCATCTGTT